AATGATAACCACATTCATGTGTACACAGCATACCCTCAGCTTAATGGTTTCCAAACCTTTCTTCTTCTTCTTTGGCATATGAAAGATGATTAAATTTTAGTATAAGTAGTACAAAGAGAGGGACCAAGTGCTTTAAAAATATATATTTATTTCCAACTTTCTAGATATACGAATCTTTAAATTCATCTTATGATAGATGTTTATCTTCTACTTTATGAATTATGAATAACTATACTCCAATATATTTTAGCGGATTGTATCTATTTTTAACTCAAATTTCAAAAACAAAATTTGACAAAAATACAATGCAAATACAATATTCACTTTGATATATTTAAAACAAAAAAAAAACTGGTATGCATAACTTAATTTCTGGGATGGAAAGGAGCGCTAGGAGTCGCTTAGGCGTTTAAGGATGTGAGAAGTGTTGAAAGAAGGAAAGTTGGAAATCAAGGATCAGTGGCGGCAATCAAGCAATCAAGCGGGTTCTGCTGATTTGCTTTCTCATTCTGGAAAACCTCAAGGCAACGGTCATCTTCAAGCTTGCTATATAATCCCTCTTGGTGATATCAGAAGCTTTAACCTTTTAGAAGCGGTATAGGGCTGTCTACTTAGTGGGCTAAATTGAACAGAGGAATAGGTTCTGTTGATTTAGCGGTGTAACGGGTCTGGTTTGGGATTCGGGGTCTTCTTGTTTCGTTTTACAGTTCTTGAGTCCATTGTTATTTTCCTTGTTGCTTGATAGGATAAATCAATAAAAAGAGAGTCTCCTAGAACTCAGTGCAGTACTGAGTCTAGGACGAGGATGTACCCGTAGCTTGGGGAACCTCGTTGAAATTCGTTGTGTTCAATTTCCTTTCTGTTTTTCTCACTGTGTTTTCTTCTGCGTCTCTTGCTCTATTTCCAGCAGTGGCTCTGCTTCTAAGGATCCTGTCCAAGGAAGAAGAAGGAGACTTTCGAATCATAACTAGGATAAGTGGGCCTAATCGCTATCTTAGTCCTAGCGAGATTTGATTTGTTTATTTTTCAGTCTGTGGACTTTATTCTTCTCTGACTGTGGGCTTTGACACCTTAGGCCCACTTCGATCTCTTGGAAGAAGAAAACCTCCGCTGTCTTCCCTTGTTTTTCATTTCTGCTATCTTTCTCTTCGTCTTTGTTCTGCGAGATACAGTAAACCTAAATCCCCAAATTCTCTGATTTATTTGCTGATTTCAATTGGTATCAGAGCCTTCCCTTGAGAGAAGGTCAGCCCTGCCAAGGTAAAAGATCCGATGGCCTCGAATTCCTTTGGACAGGCGACTCTAAACCATCCTCCAATTTTCACCGGAGGAAACTATACTGCATGGAAGAAAAGAATCAAGCAGTTTATGTGGGGTATCGATGAGGAGCTCTGGCTCATCGTGCAAAACGGTCCTATCGACATGAATCCAGCCGAGCAACACCTGTGGACAGCAGCACAGAAGAAAAGCGCTCAGCTAAATCAACGGGCAATGCATGTTCTCCAATCAGCGATGATTCCTGAAGAGGCGGACCAAGTCGAAAACTGCGAATCGGCACAGGAAATCTGGATAGCTCTACAGAGTACTTATGAAGGTACATCTAATATTCGTGAATCACGCATTGATCTATTGGTGCATGAGTATGAATCCTTCTCTATGCTTAATAATGAATCCATCCATGAAATGTACTCCAGATTTACTATTCTCATAAATAAACTCAAAGGGTTAGGTCATACCTTTCTGATAAAAGACCTAAATCGAAAAATTCTTCGTTCATTACCTAAGGAGTGGTTACCAAAGCGTACTGCTATTGAGGAGGCGCGAAATCTTGCAACTCTTCCTATAAATGAACTTATAGGATCATTACTAAGTCATGAAAATGTTATTAAGCAGGTTCATCAAGATGATGATAAGAGAAAGAAAACTCTAGCTTTTCAATCTAAGGTTATTGATTATGATTCAGATAATGATTTGGAAAGGGATTTCGAAAAAGAATTTGCTTTGGTAAGCAAACGCTTTCATCGTATGCTGAAATATAAGAATGATCAGAAAAGGCGTTTTGATGACTCTCGATTTAATACTAATGATCGATTTAAGGGTTCATCACATGACAGGCTGCCTAATCAGCAGACCAGATCTCTAGATATAGGTACAACTGATCGAGAACCTCAGGCTTGCTACAAGTGTGGGAAGCAGGGTCATATCAGGGCAAACTGCCCCCAAACTCTCAAAGCTAAAGAACGTGCCATGAAGGCATCTTGGAGCGACTATGAAACTGATGAGGAACCAGATCAGATCGATGAAGAAGCATTTATGGTCTTCTCATCCCCATCAAAATACTGTTAAAAAACTACACAGGTTAGGTCTTCCTTTCCACCTGAAGACACTGGTAAGTCAAGCCAAACTGATGACCTCTGGTATCTTGATAGTGGTTGTTCGCATCACATGTCTGGTAAGCAAGACATTTTTTCATCTCTAAAATTCAAACGTGGTGGCAAAGTTACCTTTGGTGATGATAGTTCCGGTACAATAATTGGAATAGGAACCATTGGTAAACTACCTTCACCTATGATTCATGATGTGCTGCTTGTTGATGGTCTCAAACACAATCTGCTATCTATCAGTCAGCTGTGTAGTAGTGGTCATAATGTTATCTTTGAAACCTCTCGGTGTCTTGTTAAGAGGACAAGCGATGAAACTGTCATCTTTGTTGGATCAAGACAGAATAACATGTATGTTATTGATCTTAGAAATCTTGATGCCTTCAACGAATACTGTTTCGTTGCTTCCTGTCATCAAGAACTTCTTTGGCATAGGAAACTGGGACACATTAGTTTGCAAAAACTAGCCATTCTGTCAAAGTTAAAACTGGTTAGAGGACTTCCTGATCTTAAGGAAAAGTCAAATTTCTTTTGTGATACTTGCATTTCTGGTAAACAAACGCGTAGATCTTTCAAGTCAAAACCAGATATTACTACTACAGCTGTCTTTGAATTGCTGCACATGGACCTCTTTGGTCCTTGTAATGTGACAAGTCTGGGTGGCAAGAACTACGTGTTTGTTATAGTTGATGACTTTTCAAGATTTACCTGGGTGTTTTTCCTTGCTCAAAAATCTGAAACTTTGGGAAAGTTTAAGACTTTTGCTCTGCTTCATGGTAATAAGATTAAAACTGTTAAGAGTGACAACGGGGGTGAGTTCACTGTAGAAGAGTTTGAAACCTTCTGCAATGATACTGGGATCGCCCATAATTTTTCTGCTCCTCGTACCCCTCAACAAAATGGGGTAGTAGAGCGGAAAAATAGAACTCTAATTGAATGTGCTCGCACTCTTTTGCTGGAATACAATTTGCCAAAATACTTCTGGGCAGAGGCTGTAAGTACAGCATGTTATGTGATCAATCGTGTTCTTGTTCGAAAATCCTTGAATAAAACTCCCTATGAGTTGTTTAAGAACAAGTCACCTAATATATCATATTTTCATCCTTTTGGCTACCCATGTTATATCTTAAATACTCGTGATCAGCTGGGAAAGTTTGACTGTAAATCTGATAAAGGAATTTTTCTTGGGTATTCTGTCAAAGGACAAGCCTTTAGAGTATATAATACTCGTACTCAAAAGGTGGAAGAATCTGTTCATGTCAGATTCAATGACATTACCTCTGAGAGATCAAATTCCAGTCCCTTAACGTTTGACTTGTCTGAATTGTTCCAAAGTCTGATAAATCTTCGGATATAGAGCAGGGAGCCAGTAACAGCCTACAAAACAACTCTGGAAATCCTGTCTTGTCTATGTCAAATAATACAGATAGTCAAAATACCTTGGATACTGTCATTGCTCCTCCTCCACACATTCAAAAGCGTCACCCTGCTACTCAAGTCATTGGAGATATCAATGATGGTCTCAAAACCAGAGGTAAGTATATTCCTGGACAGTATGCCTATGTGTCACAAATAGAACCTAAATCCTACAAAATTGCTTTGGGAGATGATGCTTGGTTCTTGGCAATGGTTGAAGAACTATCTCAATTTGCCCATTTGCATGTCTGGGATTTGGTTCCAAGACCCTTGAATGTGACTGTTATTGGTACTAAATGGGTGTTTAGGAATAAAACTGATGAGATAGGCATTATTATTAGAAATAAGGCTAGATTAGTTGCTCAAGGATATTCTCAAGAAGAAGGCATTGACTATGATGAGACGTTTGCCCTTGTTGCACGTCTTGAATCAATTCGCCTTTTGTGTGCTTATGCCTCCTTTTTGGGATTTCCATTATTCCAAATGGATGTTAAAAGCGCATTTTTAAATGGAGTTATAGAGGAGGATGTGTATGTTGCTCAACCTCCGGGTTTTGTAGATCCTAAGTATCCTGATCATGTTTTTAAATTAAATAAGGCCTTGTATGGTCTTAAACAGGCTCCTCGAGCTTGGTATGATCGTCTTACAACCTTTCTTTGTGATCAAGGTTTCATACAGGGATCAGTTGACAAAACTCTCTTTACTAAACATGTAGCTTCTGATTTTCTGCTTGTTCAGATTTACGTAGATGATATTGTCTTTGGTTCCACCAATACTAGCCTATGTTCCTCTTTCTGTGAGTCAATGCAGAGTGTGTTTGAGATGAGTCTGATGGGGGAACTTAAGTATTTTCTTGGTCTCCAGATTCAACAATCTCCTGCTGGTACTTTTATTCATCAGTCTAAATATGTGTCTAACATGCTCAGTAAATTCGATATGAGTGCTGTAAATTCCAGTCCTACGCCTATGGCAACCAATGTCAAACTGGACAAAGACGAGGCTGGTATACTTGTCAATGAATCTTTGTATCGTGGCATGATCGGATCTCTTTTATATCTTACTGCCAGTCGTCCTGACATCCAGTTTGCAGTTTGTCTATGTGCTCGCTTTCAATCTCAGCCCAAACAAAGTCACTTATCGGCAGTAAAACGCATTTTTCGATATCTGAAAGGTACTATAGATATAGGCCTGTGGTATGCTAAGCAAGATCATTTTGATTTGGCTGGATATACCGATGCTGACTTTGCTGGTAGCTTAACAGACAGGAAGAGTACTTCTGGTAGTTGTCAATTTGTAGGTACTTCCTTGGTATCATGGTCTTGTAAAAAGCAAGCTGCTGTTGCTTTATCCACTGCTGAGGCAGAATATCTTGCTACTGGCAGCTCCTGTGCACAACTTCTTTGGCTTAAAACCCAACTTGGTGACTATGGTATGACTGTTTCATCTATTCCCTTGTTTTGCGACAATACTAGCGCCATATGCATGTCCAAGAATCCTGTCCAGCATTCTAGAACTAAGCATATTGATATCAAATTTCATTTCATTAGGGAATTAGTTCAGGCAGAAATCATTGAGCTTTCATATATTTCTTCGGAATTTCAACTTGCCGACTTGTTTACCAAGCCATTGTCTGCAGATCGATTTCATTTCCTTAGTTATGAGATTGGTATGCGATCCCAGTCCTCTCTAACGGAGGTAATTGGTGATCTTGTCTCCTAATCAGTTCTTTCCTTTTGATTTTTTTTGTTCTTTTTAGTTTCTTTGTCTTTTTGGTTTCTTTGTCTTTCCTTTTGTGGGTTAGCTTTTATTATTGACTGCGTTTTTATCGTCTTAGTCTTAGGTTTTTCTCTGTATTTATATGTGTGAGTTCTGTGTCTTTTCATTCACCCTAGCTTTTGTGTCTTCTCGTTTTCTTTAGCCTGTTGCAATGTCTTTGCCATTTCTTAGCACGTTTACTGGCACTCTGTTTTTAGATCCCATTCCTGCTAACGCCCATCGTCATACCCTGTTTTTTGCCAATCGAGAGGTGCTTCCCTCATATCATGTTCAGCTTCATGATATGATTGAAGTTGGACTTGATGTGCGTCCCTTCATTCAAAATCTCGGATGGACCTTTCTGTTGGATCATCCTTTTTCCTCTGTCATTTGTCCTGATGCTGTGCGCTTCTTTTACTCCTATCTTCGGTTTACTCAGCTCAGCTCTTGTTTTTTTCACCACCCTGGTTTTTGGCAATCTCCTCACTATTCCTGTGGCTAAAGTTGAGCGTTCTCTTTATATCCCTGCCATTGGTGAGAATCTTGCTGATGCCTCTGAGTTGGCTCTTTTCAATTTTGATATCTCAGCTGAGTTCCGCCAGCTTACAGGGCAATTTCCTGGTCCTAACCTTTCCTTGCCTATCTCAGCTCTTCTGCCCTCCCTTCGAGCTCTTCATTTCTATATATCTCATGTGTTTTTGCCTCGTTCTGGTGACTTCAACCTGATTACTCCTGTGGAGCTTTGGGTTCTGGTTCACGCAGTTCATGGTGTCCCTCTCAGTTATGCTGACCTCTTCTTTGGTCATGCTATATCCTTTTGCGATGTGAATGTCACTTCACCCCTTCCTTTTGGCCCTCTTATTACCACTTTGCTTTCGCGCATTCGTGTCAATATCCAGCCCTTCCGATCCATCACTCCCTCTGTCTATCTTACTGCCGACGATGTCATGGATCTTCTGGAAATAGCAGTTGAGGGGGAGAATGGTGATGGACATGTTGTTGTTCTTAGTAGCAGCAGTGATTCTGATGATGGTAATGGTGGTGATGTCCCAGAACTGGCTCCTTTTGCAGCAGCCCTTCAAGCTCTTTATGGCTCTGATTCTGATGGTGAAGAGGCTCAATCTCAGGGGGAGGAGTGAGTAGTCTTTTTGGCAGGGTAGAACTGATTCTGATCGGGTTCTGATTTGTGTTTCGGATTTTGGTTCCTTGTTGCAAGTTTTTAGGGGGTTGCCTTGCTGTTTGGTTTGCCTGACCAGGCTGTGGTCTTTATCTTTCTTTCTGAATGGTTGGATGTTCTTTTTGTTGCAAGTTTCTGGATATTCTCCTAGTTTAACCTAGGATGTGTTTGGTTCTGTGAATGTCTGGTGCATTTGATCTGGTGTATGCCTTGGAGGAATCTCTTGTGTTCTGTTTTGCAGGTTTAATCAGCAACTTGCTATTTCCAACTTAGGGGGAGATTGTTGAAAGAAGGAAAGTTGGAAATCAAGGATCAGTGGCGGCAATCAAGCAATCAAGCGGGTTCTGCTGATTTGCTTTCTCATTCTGGAAAACCTCAAGGCAACGGTCATCTTCAAGCTTGCTATATAATCCCTCTTGGTGATATCAGAAGCTTTAACCTTTTAGAAGCGGTATAGGGCTGTCTACTTAGTGGGCTAAATTGAACAGAGGAATAGGTTCTGTTGATTTAGCGGTGTAACGGGTCTGGTTTGGGATTCGGGGTCTTCTTGTTTCGTTTTACAGTTCTTGAGTCCATTGTTATTTTCCTTGTTGCTTGATAGGATAAATCAATAAAAAGAGAGTCTCCTAGAACTCAGTGCAGTACTGAGTCTAGGACGAGGATGTACCCGTAGCTTGGGGAACCTCGTTAAAATTCGTTGTGTTCAATTTCCTTTCTGTTTTTCTCACTGTGTTTTCTTCTGCGTCTCTTGCTCTGTTTCCAGCAGTGGCTCTGCTTCTAAGGACCATGTCCAAGGAAGAAGAAGGAGACCTTCGAATCATAACTAGGATAAGTGGGCCTAATCGCTATCTTAGTCCTAGCGAGATTTGATTTGTTTATTTTTCAGTCTGTGGACTTTATTCTTCTCTGACTGTGGGCTTTGACACCTTAGGCCCACTTCGATCTCTTGGAAGAAGAAAACCTCCGCTGTCTTCCCTTGTTTTTCATTTCTTCTATCTTTCTCTTCGTCTTCGTTCTTCGAGATACAGTAAACCTAAATCCCCAAATTCTCTGATTTATTTGCTGATTTCAAGAAGCAGTAGGTAAGCATGGTTTAGGAAGGGTGAGGGGTGAAGTTGAAACTCAAACAAAAAGACCCCTAAACAACAGAATATACCAATTCTTTCTTCTCCCTCTCAGTCTACGGGGTTTTTTTTTTACAACATCAATCATCATTACATTCCAAACCCACACAAGTAGGAAGCAATACAATTACAATAATGGAGCGACAATATCAGCAATGACAATCCATTCAGGAGGAAGGAGATCAAGACGAGAGTTTCTCGCAATCCAATCCGCCAAGGCATTGAATCGACGGGGAACAAACTCAACCACGATCCACGGAGAGACACAGAGAATGGAAACAACCCGGGCAAGAGTTGCCCGGCATTGCCAAGGCCAAAGGCTCGGATCCTGTTTCAACGCAATCGTCAATCTCTGACAATCCGATCGGACACACGTTGGGACTGGATCCAGGGCTGCCAAGATAACTGCATTAAGAATTGCAACAGCTTCCGCTTGAATCGGAGAAGAACAAAAGAATCTCTCAGCTTTCCCGTCGATAACCTGCCCGTGGAAATTAGCAATAGCAATACCATATCCCGCCATTTGTGCATCAGAAACAAAGGAACCATCACATTGCACAACCTTACTAAAAGGACCAGGCGGTGATAAGGTCGTCGACCGAGAACTCCCAAGCTGAGAAGGCAAACCGGCTGATCTGGAAGAAGGGGAAACTGTGCCTGAAGTCCACGCTTCCTTAACCCTTTAAAAATCTCTATCAGCTAGAATTGCCACAATAGACGGGGAGAACACCTTTCCTTCAAAGACCATTCCATTACGAGCAATCCAGACATTCCACATTGTACACACAATTGCAGAGATAGAAGTTTACTTTTATATGATATAAATATATATATTTATTATGAATGTTAAAGTATATAGTTAATAAATAAATTCGCCATTATAAAAAAAATGAATATTAAAGTATATAGTTAATAAATAAATATTCAAGTAATTCATTAATGAAAACGAACTAACTTGTTGATTAATACAACTTACAATTTGTATAAACAATCGTGACGTATTTTCATATTCCCTCTCAGTCTTCTGACGTGCCTGTACCGACAAGGACATGACCTAATTAAGCTCTCCGGCGACCAACAAATTTATGGTGCATGTATTCGTGAAAAACGTTGAAAGCTAGCATTGCATGACGAATCTACGATATGATCTCACCGACGAAATGGATGGTACGGTAATGATCACCCTAGGCCCTAGGGCAATGGAATTAATTATATAGATTGATTTTGTGGCCGATCGTCCACGTCCAGCAAATATCTGGATCATATTTTATTGGGCAAGTAATGTCTGTTTTACTTTTATTTTGTTAATACATTAATATATAGACCTTTTTTTCAAACATTATTATATGAACCTGATTTTGTCAACAATAAAGTGAAATGTGGTAGAAATATAATATATGCATGGACCTGTTTTTCAAACATTATAAAAGGAAAAAATTTCGTCTGAGAGGATTTATTGAACAATAGTTCTCACTACCCATCTAACGATATGTACCTCTAATTTACCTTTCCCAACCATAGAAATTGAAGTACATAAGATATTTGGATACAATATTATGATTCTTTTTTTTTTAATTCATGTAAGTAATTACTACATTTAATTATTAATCTCTGATTGCGGTACTATTTGAAAACTCATACTTTATGCTTTATGAGGAAAATGAAGTTGACAAAGATAGTTACTTGTACACGTTTTTCAAATATTAGTATATTACTCTCTTTTTTCCCATTAGCCTCTCTCGTTATATGTGGGCTCTTTTGTGGTGCTAGATGTTAATTTGATATGGTAGAGGGTCATGTTATTGTTAAGCTATCACCTAACTACCACGACATATTGTCAATGAAAGATGGGTAAATTAGGATTCTTGGTTGGTTGTTTTATATTATCAAAACAATGAGCAAACAATACTAGTGTATGTGATGACATATATATGACGGTAGACCATTTTTAACGATCTGGTTTGGTCTATAATTTTTCAAATGGTTTGTTCTATTTTCCCAGCCTATATTAAACAGCAAACCATAGCATCCCTTAAAGCAAGTAACTTAGTGAAAAAGGGATCAATAATAAAGAATCTATGTATATTGCATCCACGAAATTCTTAAAAACACTTTAGATGTTGATTTTGTGATCTAATCCTAAAATATTGAATCGTTAGTCATCTACTCATATCACATAATAACGTGTATTTGTTGTATACGACAATAATAATATATTACCATGTTATTTTGAAAGAAATCCAACTCACGCGAATATTTATTACATACCACAATTGTTAGGAAGAATATACTAAACATCTCTCTTGAAAACTTTCATCTTCAAGCCGTTTTCCATTGGCAACATAATAGAAGCAAGTGGCTTCACAAGTTGACCCTCTACCATATCAAACTTGTAGTTCCATAGAAGACTACTAACTATGAACTTGAGTTGCATAAAAGACAACATCTTCCCCAAGCACGACCTTGGCCCTGCCAAAAAATTCATAAACTTGTAGGACGGAATGTGAATTATGCCCCCTTGTTTAGAAATCCATCTTTGAGGTTTGAACTCCAAGCAATCTTTTCCCCATATCTCTTCCATCCTCCCCATGGAGTATATGGAGAACAAAACTCTAGTGCCCTTATGAATGCGATGGTCGCTAGGTAGCACATCATCTTCAATAGCACATCTAAGCTCGAATGGCGCGGGTGGGTACAACCTCAATGTTTCGCAAATTGTTGCATGGAGATACACAAGCCTATTCATATCGTCGTTACTAATAAGCAAAACACCTAATCCTTCTCCAGGAGTTGGTCGTTGTGTAGCCGTTGTCACTACTCGCTCAATCTCCTCGAGAATCTTTCTCTCATCCTCAGGATGGGTTGCAACCAACCAAAGCAACCAAGTTATAGCGGAAGACACGGTGTCTCTCCCAGCTGCAACTAATGTCACTCCAATGTCTCTTAGAAATTTATCTGAACTTTCTCGTTTCTGGTCCGCTACCAACCATTGTGTTAGCAAGTCAAGTTGTTGATGTTGCTCTTCTTTGTGCAACTCTTGTTTCTTGGTCTTCACGACATCATATAAGAAATCGTCCAAGACCTTAGTACTTTGACTAATCTTCTTCTCTGATCCAATCCCAAACCTTTTCTGAAGTTCCCATATACTTCTGGGGACGATATGTCGGTATATGATAGCCTCCTCGATTTCATCAAATGCTTTGCCGCATGAGAAGGTACTTAATTGCCTGTCAACACAAAGGTAACCTAGAATAGGAATAAATTTGATTAGGATTGTTGTGCTGCATATTTTCTTGCCTTATTGAATACATTTTAATTAGTTGTAAAACTTAAACAAATTTCTCTGACAAAGAAAACCAAGAACGTAATTAACTACACCCTATATATATATACTCAAGTGTAAATTAAATTAAACCGTACGTTATTATACATGATCATCACCTGGATCGAATCCCAAGACCCACATGCATATGTTGTCGAACATGAACCTGCTCACCACGTCCTGTATGTCCACCTCAACAGTTCCAAGCCCTCGCGTCGAATTACAAGCATCATCAAGGACTCGGAACAAGGTGCCCTCCATCTTCTGATGAAGGGTTTTCATAACGTAGTTTTCGAACCCTTGTTTGCTCAACAAGGAATGGATCCTCTGCCGTTGAAACCTCCACGATTCCCCATCGGAGTTGACGATCCCTTCTCCGAAAAGCTCCTCGAACATCGCTTTGAAATCCTCACCCTTCCCATAGTTGGCAAAGTTCTTGCTAAAGACGTGGTGGGCATTCATCGGATCGCTGGTGACGACGAAGTCCAGGTTGGCGAAGCAGGGGCCTTTGAACAGGAACGTGCCGCCGCTTTCTTTGACGAGTCGAGTGATGAAACCGTGGAGATCAGTGGTTGCGTTACAAAGGAGGGCCGGAAGCATGCCCACCACCGGCCATTCAACGGCGGAATAACAGCTTTTCTTCTTGGCTATAAATGCTACTATGGAGAGCCAAAGAGATGTGAAGAAGAGAAAAGCTAGTAGTAAAATCGCCATTCTTCTGGGGCTCAATTGATACTGATTTATGATGAGTAGCTATTTAATTAATTTAGCCTGGGAGACAACTTATTTATACTACAAGAGCCAAAGCAGCACCGCTTGCCTTTATTGTATGTATTCTTGACTTGAGAATTATGTATGAGATGGGGAAACTAGCCAAACTTCGTTTGTTGTTATGCAAATTAAAGAATGATATGTTCGAATTTATTTACAAAGTGCTCGGGCCTTCTGCAACACATTATTAGATTAGAGATAGCAATTTCGACTTAACCCATTTTAGTAGATTTTTTTATGAAGGTGAATAATCATTAAACAGAAAATGTTCAGACCTACTCAAACCCGTACTTCATGATAATTATTCGAAATGTCACGGAGCGAATATGTATATTGAGATATATGTAATGGTTTCTCTACCTTTCGTCTTCTTCGTCATCTTCTTTGGCATAAGAGGAAAAAAGTACACAGAGAGATCGAGGGACTAAGCTCCATTAGTCAGTCTACACGAATAATTTGGTTGCAAGTCTTCATACTCCATCGAAATGGTTCTCCCTTTCTTGCTTCGAAGTACTACTTATATATAGTTATTACTTATTACCAAGCTAAATAGATCGATTACACATTGGCTCACCGAATTTATTTATAAATAAATAGCTAGCAAATATTTTGTCTTACTTGTCAATGACTTTAATTACATTTGGTACATGGTATATAAATGTACAAATGTCTTTATAGTAACTTGCACATTTAACTTTTGGTACAAATTTAACTTTTATTGGAACCACCAATGTTTTAGAAGAGAGTAGAATGGCTCAATGGTGAAAGCTAGCATTGCATCGTGAATTGGTGACTCTACGATCTCACCAACAGAGGCAACCGACGAAATGGATGGTGATGATCACCGGGCCGGCCAATGGAATTATGTATTTCTACAGATAGATTGTGTGGTCAATAGTAGTGGGACGGGTTAGCATGCTAACCTCTTAAGGGGTTTGAAAGACTAGTTATATGGTCTTGGTACGCAGCCGTGTTGGCCAAGGGTGTTTTATGTCTTTTCCCTTTGGCCGCTGCTCATGTTTAAAACCCTAGGAGCTCTATTGATTAGGGTTATATATGTGGTGTAAGTGTATCGGCTGAAAACCAAGTAATAATACGCTGAGATAGCATAACTTCTCCGTGGAGTAAGCTCATTCACACCGAATGAGAAGAACCACGTAAAACCTCGTCTCGTGTTCTTGTGTTTTTCGTTTCCTACAATTATTTCATGGTATCAGAGCTGGTTTATTGAAACCTAAGTTTTCACAATGAGTGGCAAGGATACTGATGGCAGTAGTCACGATCTCATCAACCCTAACAGCAGCGGAGGAGGTGGCGTTCCACCTTTGGTCATCCCTGCCGCGTTGAGGATCCAAGCTTCAGATAATCCAGGTCAGCTATTCGTTGGTGAACTGTTGAATGACTCCAACTATGGAGAATGGGTCACGGACAGGACCGAGGCTTTGATCGCAAAGAACAAGCTCGGCATTGTTGATGGAACGGTGGTCAAGCCGGCTGCTGCTGGAGAGTTACAGGCGGCATAGCTTCAGTGCGACGCCCTCGTCAAGGGGTGGTTGAAGACTGCTATGGACAAGGAAGTTCGCAGCTCGATTCGCTACGCGAAGACTGCGCGCGATATGTGGATAGATCTGGAGGCGCGATTTGGTCGTGGATCAGCGCCTAGGGCTTACGAGCTCCGTCAAATGATGAGCACTTTGAGACAGGAGAAGCTCACAGTCTCGACGTTCTTTACCAAACTTCGAGCGATTTGGGAGGAGATGTTAACGATCACACCTGTTCCTCGTTGCACCTGTGGTTTGTGCACTTGCGAGATCGACAAGAAGGTTATGAGCAATCTGGAAAACGATCGCCTCTTCGATTTCCTTATGGGATTGGGTGATGCGTTCGGGACGGTCAAGACTCAAATTCTCTCGATGAAGCCGACTCCGACTCTTAGTGAAGCCTACCGCTTGGTGTCGACAGAAGAGCAGCACAAACAAATCGCCGCAAGTCGTCGTCCCACGGTGGATGCTGCTGCTTTCCAAGCGCGCCAAGAGCGCCCAGCTGCTTATGCAAATAGGCGGGAAGAGAGGGCGCGTAGCACCAATAGGAAGGAACGGCAGAGGTGCAGTCATTGCCAGCGCCCTAGCCATTCCAAGGAAAATTGCTATGAGATCATTGGGTGGCCGGAGAGAAAATCTCGATCGAGTGATCGGGAGAAGGAACGGGAACCTCGTTCAGGTGAGCGGGAGAAAGAACGCACCGGTCGACCCACCAAGCCGCGAGCTGCGCAGTCCTCCGCTGGAGCCGGCGTTAGCATCCCAGGGCTGAATTCTGAACAGGTGCAGCAGCTCCTGGACTTTCTTCATCATAGTGGTGGGCAGCCCGATTTGTCGACGTCGTTTGATCCGCAAGTAAACATGGCAGGTACGTCTCTTTCACAATCTGAGTGGATCATAGATTCGGGATGCAACGAGTACATTACGAATGATGAATCCTTGCTAGAGAATTCAGTTGAAGTGTCCGGTTACTTGCCGGTCAGTATCCCGAATGGGGATAAGATTACAGTCAGCCGTGTTGGTGAGGTTAAATTGTCACATGGAATGAAGCTTAGTCGGGTGCTCAGTCTTCCGTTGTTTAAGTGTAATCTCTTGTCAGTCAGCAGGCTCACTCAGGATTTCGATGTTGCTTTAACGTTTCTACGCGATTTTTGCGTAATCCAGGACTTACATTCCGGGAAGACGATTGGGACGGGCCAGCTTCGTGATGGACTTTACTATCTTCGCCTGTATGGTGCCGACGAGTCTCAAGCTTTGGTCGCTAGCAGTGATGCAAGAGTGGGGGAGCTTTGGCATGCTCGGTTGGGCCATCCGTCGCAGAAGAAGACACCATTGTTATTTCGATCTAGTCAGAATAAATGCAGTAGTGATACCTGCGATTCTTGTATGCGTGCTAAGCAGACACGGTTACCATTTCCTAGACATTCGATTAAGACCAGTCGTTGTTTTGAGCTTATTCATGTGGATATTTGGGGCAGTTTCAAGGTTCCCACTCAGAATTCAGCTCGCTATTTTCTTACTATTGTCGATGATTTTAGCAGAGCTACATGGGTATATCTCATGTCTTACAAGTCTGAAGTTGAGGGATATTTAAAAATGTTTGTCAATCTGGTGGTAACTCAGTTTAATCAGAAAGTGGCGCGCATTCAAGCTGACAATGGGTTGGAGTTTCAAACAAACAGTCTCCGTGATTTCTATGAGGAAAGGGGCATTGTTTTGCAGACCTCTTGTATCGACACTCCCTAGCAGAATGGGGTAGTTGAAAGAAAGCACCGTCACTTGCTAGAAACAGCTCGCGCGCTTCGTTTCCGAGCGAGCTTACCCTTGAGATTTTGGGGTGACTGCGTCTTGACAGCAACTTATCTGATCAATCGTTTACCTTGTAAAATTTTGCAGGATAGGTCTCCGTACGAGGTCCTTCTTGGAAAAGCTCCCTCTTATTCCCATCTTCGTGTTCTGGGATGTTTGGCGTATGGAAAAGACAATCATAAAGGAATCTCCAAGTTTGATGAACGTGGTAAACGTTCGGTTTTTCTGGGATACCCGGCCTTCCAGAAGGGTTATCGTCTCTTTGACTTGGAATCACGGACCTTCTATATTTCCCGTGATGTTCACTTCGTGGAGCAAGTTTTTACCTTTGGCGAGGCTACATCCCCAGCATTACCTCAGCCCATTTCCTTTTCACAGCTCCCGGTTGTGGCCGAAGCTGCCGAGGAGCAGCCCTCCACCTCGTCGCCTTTGCATGGCCATGCAGCGAGTCCCCAGGCACGTACTTCGACAGCCGCGGAGATCGAGGACCAGTCGGCGTCCCCCTCAGCTCCAGCGCCTCCTCCACCTGTAGTCCCTGCGCCGCCCGACCAGCCAGCTGCTGCACCTCGTCGCAGCAATCGTGCGCGTCAAGTCTCCCGGCGCCTGGACGGTTACGAGGTTGAGCTGCCACCATCCAATTCCCAGTATCCCATGTCCAATTATGTCAACTATGATGCCTTTTCTCCGCAGCATAAAAGCTTCTTGGCTGCAGTCTCTAGCCAAGTTGAGCCCTCTAGTTTTCGCGAGGCAGCTCGGTATGAGGAGTGGCGCATTGCGATGCAAAAGGAGATTGACGCTCTAGTTGGTAATGGCACATGGACTCTCGTCAGTCTACCCCCTGGTAAGCGAGTGGTTGCTTCGAAATGGGTGTATAAAATCAAGTTTAATGCTGATGGTTCGGTTGAGCGGTACAAAGCTCGTTTAGTCGCAAAGGGTTTTACTCAGACGGAAGGGATAGACTATCATGACACGTTTGCTCCGGTAGCAAAATTGGTCAGTGTTCGCTGTTTATTAGCCATTGCGGCTGTCCGTGGCTGGGTCGTCCATCAACTCGATGTTGATAACGCCTTTTTGCATGGGGATTTGCATGAAGAAGTGTATATGCAAATTCCACAGGGTTTCGCAGCTCCGGGTGATACGCGTGTTTGTCGTCTTCATAAGTCTATTTATGGGCTTAAGCAAGCTTCGCGCAACTGGTGTGCTAAGTTTGCTGAGACTCTCACTGGTCTTGGGTTCACGCGTTCTCGGGCTGATTACTCTCTTTTCGTGCGCCGTAGTCGTGGCACCTATGTTGTTGCTCTCATCTACGTGGATGATGTCATCCTGGCGGGTGATGATTTAGTCTTCATTCAGCAGGTCAAGGATGCTCTTCATGGTCAGTTTGGTATTAAAAATCTAGGACCCCTCAAGTATTTCTTGGGGATCGAGGTCGCTCGCTCTCGTGCTGGCATTGCTCTCTGTCAACGGAAGTACACTTTGGATCTGCTTCGTGACAGTGGCTACTCTGGTGGTCGTCCTAGCGTGTTTCCCATTGAGCAGCATCACCAGCTCACACGGCATGATGATAATGCCGCTCTGGTTTCTCCAGATGATGCTGCTGCATATCATCGTCTCGTTGGTCGCTTGCAGTATCTCACTGTCACTCGGCCGGATATTGTGTATGCGGTTAATATTCTCGGCCGCTATGTCCATGCACCCACGTCTGCTCATGTCACTGCAGCTGGGCGAGTCCTTCGTTATCTCAAGAATGCTCCGGGTCAGGGCATCCTTCTTCCTTCAAGTGGTCCTCTTCACCTCACAGCTCATTGTGACGCCGATTGGGGAGGCTGTCAAACCACTCGTCGTTCCACGTCCGGCTACTTTATCACACTTGGAGGTGCCCCGGTTTCCTGGCGCACCAAGAAGCAAACAGTTGTAGCTCGTTCATCAGCCGAGGCCGAGTATCGGGCCATGGCCAGCACTGTCAGTGAAGTCATTTGGTTACGGGCCTTGCTCCGGGATATGGGGGTTGCAAGCACCAGTCCTACGGTTCTCCATTGTGACAACCAGGCAGCACTCCATATAGCGGCCAATCCCGTGTTTCATGAACGTACGAATCATGTTGAGCTTGATTGCTACTTCGTCCGTGACCATGTCACCTCCGGTGAGATTCTTCCTCAGAAAGTCCACACTGCGGTACAGCTTGCGGATCTGTTCACTAAGGGTCTTGCCGGTGATCGTTTTCATTCTCTGTTATCCAAGCTGGGCATTTGTAATCTTCATGCCTCAGCTTGTGGGGGAGTGAAAGACTAGTTATATGGTCTTGGTACGCAGCCGTGTTGGCCAAGGGTGTTTTATGTCTTTTCCCTTTGGCCGCTGCTCATGTTTAAAACCCTAGGAGCTCTGTTGATTAGGGTTATATATGTGGTGTAAGTGTATCGGCTGAAAACCAAGTAATAATACGCTGAGATAGCATAACTTCTCCGTGGAATAAGCTCATTCACACCGAATGAGAAGAACCACGTAAAACCTCGTCTCGTGTTCTTGTGTTTTTCGTTTCCTACAATTATTTCAGGGTTGGTTTTTTGACACCCCCTTTAATTGGTCAATTTTTCATTAATTATTGACAAGTATTAATGAAAGTAAACATAATAAATGTTATGTTATTAAATACAAAGTAAGCATTAAATACACCACATTAATTACCACTTTATTGGTATTTGTACAACTGCACTGATACTCATATATGACATTGCTACCAGTGCACTGATATCGCTACCAGTGCAGTGGTATATCTACCAGTACAGTAGTACAACGTATCAGACTATCAGTGCAGTGGTATATCTACCAGTACAGTGGTACACCGTATCAGTGCAGTGATATATTTTTTGGAGGTGGTCGGAGGGAGTCTGCCGATGGGATTTTCACCGGAGAAGTGTGGCGGTCGGAGGAAGTCTGGTGGTCGGAGACTGCTGAAAAAGGAAAAATCAAATATAGTGAGAGAATTCCTAATGTGTATTTAATGTGTGTATTTAATTCCTAATGTGTATTTAATAGTGAGAGAATTCCTAATTAATATGGTACATTTAATTCCTATAGTTGTATTTAATATACTAGGGGGGTGTCATTTTTCCAACCCCTAAGGGGGGTTAGCATGCTAACCGACCCCGGTCAATAGTACTCCAGCTCAACCAATCCAACAAGCACGCGTCACTCATCCAACGATGACTAAATCATATTTTACCTGGCAAGAATTCAGTTTCGGTTAATGACCAAACTATGAAACTATACGCAAACTGCCAGAAAATTTGAACACGCACGCGATTTACGTGATTTTCTCAACTAGAATAATCGAGACTAGTCCACGAAGAGGGAGTCTCTCGAGTCCGTCTTATTAGGTTATCAGCCACCAAAATCCTTACATACAACTCGACCACTCTCTCTATATTTATACCGGCCAAGGCCAAGCCCTAATGCAAAGTACCAGAATAGCAATTAAACTTAAATAATGAACGAGTTAATTGCTAAATACACATACCAACGTCAACACAAACCACTTAGTTTCAATAATTAAAGTTTGTACAAATTTGAGAGTCATCCTAACGATTTGAAACTATGACCTAATATATAAAACACTTGTCGTAACGATTTGAAACGATTTGAGAGCCAATACACTAATATATAGAACACTTGTCGTGACAAATGATAGCAATGATAATCGGTTCACAAGCAGATACACTAGTAGCTAGAATTCAACGTTTCACATATATGGTTGCATGAAGATATACAAGTCTATTCATCTTGCCTTTATCCATCATTGAAATCCCCAATGTTCCTCCTCCTCTGGGATTTGGTAGTCTTTTCTCCATAAGCAGTACTCGTTCAATCTCCTCGGGATTCTTTCTCTCAACCTCAGGATGGATTGCAACCAACTAGAGCAACCAAGTTAGAATTGAAGACACAAAGACTTTCCGTGCTGCTATTGATGTCACTCCAAAGTCTCGTAGACCGTAGCAATTTATCTAAACTTTCTGCTTTTCTCGAGAATCTTCTTTGTGAAACTCTTGTTTTTTTTTTTTTTGTGTAAATCGATCATACATTATCGTTAATTTTTTTTCTCGATTTTACTGAGAAACCATAGTACATTTCCGGGCACAAAATCTTCCCAGCATTCGAAAACTCAAATATCATAAGATTGAGTTAGTGCTTCTTTCTTGGTTGGTCGAAAACTCAAATGCTAGCATGTTAATTACTATTGTCCTTTATTCTCCCTCTCAAACTACTATTGTCGTTATAGAAGTATCCTATTATATGATAAAAATATATTTATTATAAATATTTAAATTATATAATTCGAAGATAAATATTCGAATTAGATAATTCATTTACAAAACAAAAATAACCCAATAATCAATACAAGTTACATTTTGTATAACAATCATAAAGCATTTTCAAATCCAAAAGAATTGTAAACATCATTGCCTTTACTCTTAAATAAGTATTTTTCAATGTATGCCCCTATGTTTAATTATTTTATTGTCCATAAATTTCTCATATTGGTATATAAATTCAGTGTTGGAAAATCATACTTGTTTAGGATTGATAAATTCTCCCCAAAATTCTAATAATGTCCGTAACAGTCTTAGTATGTGGCTGACTATCCATCAATGCACTGCCAACTGGTGTGACAAGAGACAATTCCCTCTATTTTAGTATGATTTAAAATTAAAACGAGCAGACAGTCCTCCGGCATGCCTGTACCGACAAGGACAAGTCCTAATTAAGCTCTCCGGCGACCAACAAAATTTATTCATGAAAAACGTTGAAAGCATTGCATGAGCATGACGAATCTACCAACCGACGAAATGGATGGTGTTGATCGTCCCCGTCCAGCAAATATCTGGATCATATTTATTGGGCTTGGTAAGTAATGTCAATTGAAAGAGTTATTATATTGTACTTATTCTCCTGATAAATTATATCAAATTTCATCTAACATATGAGTTATAACATATAATATTACACCAAAATAACATGTCGTACTTATATCCAACATATAGTGAAAATTCACACACACTTATATAACATCATTATTCAAATCTTCAACTTAGGGTTCCAAAGATTGAATTAGGCGAAAAGAAAAATCGGAAAATAGGAGCACTGCGCAAACCAAAGAAAAAAATGACACAATTTGACCTCCAACCCGGTACCTTGTAACGGTCGACCCGGCGGGTGCGTGCAACCCTTTTTTCTCACCGGGTCTGGGTCAAAGTGGGTCGACAGCGGGTTGACAACCTTGGTAGCTAGAGTGGGAGGTTCATGTTTCCCATTACTTTCATCGGGTAACTATGTAATGTGTAAATCTTTCGATTTGCCTTGGCGGCGTAGTGAGGAATTTTATGTAAGTTTGGGTTCAATCTAATAAAATTTCAAGATATTTTTTCATTGTTTTCTTGCAATAACTGTAAATAGAAAAAATTTATTAAACGAATTCATCATTCAAATTATTAAGGATGTCATTCATGGTGTATCGTATAGTAATAAAACAAATCATTTATGCTCTCGTCTTTCATTCAAATCCAAATAATATTCCTTCACGTGACTGATTGTTGAAAGAGCTCTGAATCTGAACACTTGCGTGGGCGAGTGATAGTA